AAAAAAGTACTCCAGAGTGTTGTTCAGCATGGGGGTGAGTAGAAAATGAAGGCTAATCATGTTTTGGGTGTACTATTCCTTTAATTATGTTCAGGACAGCCACATAAATGGGAAACTGATCACATTAAGCTGAAATAAGTGCGCATATGAGAATTATTTTTAAAAATTTGAATTCACAATTTATTTAAAGCTTTAAAAAACAACAACAGAAAACCTCACTTGGACTACACAGTCATATGGAACAGTATTATATCTTACAGACGTCCATTAATTTGAATTCCTGTCCACTTTCCAATGTTAACGTAACACTTTTGACTTCAGGATACAGGGCTGCAATAACTCATTGAAATAGACATCGATTATGGAATGCGTTTAAGTGAAATTTCCTGCGTAGTTCAGTAAAAGATCAACCTTATGCATTTTTCCATACTTCATTGTCAGTGATCAGTGCTTGACATGCAGTTCACTAAGGCAGCTGCAGAGGACAGTATTGTTTCAATTAACTGTTGAAGGGTGAGCACTTTATTCCACGATTTATTGGAGAGCACAAAAGTTTGATAAATTACACTTTCTTTTAAACAAAACAATCCTTTTTTTTTTTCTTTTTTAAGAGCTGTTTAAGATAATAGTAGCTGTGTAACCTAAAGTTGGTTTTACAGATATGGCTCAATTAGAAAACTACGGATATGTTTCCTTTGCAGCGTTATCGCCATTCCTGTTTTTATAATTTAATTAAAGAGGTTTAGTTAATTTTCAAATTAAAACTTAATGGATTTTTATTTTCTAAAAGGGTCACATATCATTAACATGGATGATGGTGGAGATAATCTGAATCAAAATGGAACACAATTTTCACTTGTGTGATTACATTTAATAAGAAAGGGAAAAAAAACAGAACTTGCACAGACGAAGCAGTCTGTGTTCATGCTTGAAAATCCAACATGACTGAGGTAAAATGATTCTGCAAAGGTTTAATTTCCACTGATGTAAAATACTTCCTACCAGTAGTTGCAAAGACATGATTGACAGGCAAGGTTTAAAGAATATTCTTCTCTTAGTAAAATGGATAATTTGAAAATGAATTTTTGTGTTGACTTGAGTTTCCACTGTCTGATATTAAAATTTGTTTAAAATTCAAAGAAAAATTGAGAAAAGGCAAAATTAGGAGGTATCAAAATCTTTTTTTCCCACAGCTCTGTATCTAAAAGGAAGTCTTGAGTAAAATTGCAAAGTACTAATTTTTGTTTTTGTGTGTGTGTGCTGCAGCTGTCTTTCTCTCCATCCACCCCAATGAACAGCCATGTGAGAGTGCTCTGTCTGCTGGTGTCGCTGCTCCTGGACTGCTGCGGCCTGGCGGTGGTCTGCGGCCTGTTAGGAGCCTCTCATGGCATGCATACTCTTTCATTTATGGCTGCAGAGGTAATGACCAGCAGTTACACAGCATTTTAAATTCTAGATCCTCTATATCAGCCTAGAAACGCATAACATTTTAATCCTATGGTATACAAATTCATATACATCTTGATTTTTAATAATTATTTATTCTCAAGCTTTTGTGATATCATGTAATTTAAAAAAATTTTTTTCAATCTTCTCATGGTAGATTAGAACATATTTGTTGTGCTTAATCTGTCTTGGCTTAAATGCATATTTATTTGATTAACAATAGTCATCATAACAGACATTTGCGTCTTTATTGATTTTAGCTTTGCCCAAATACTGTTCTTCAACCATGTGCTTTTAGGATATTTGGGTAATGAATTTCCTTTTCTTTGGATTCTTTTATCTAAAGCCAAGTAACTTAAAGAGGATCTGATCTTTAAATAATCACACTGGAGCCTGATATCCACACTCTGTTAACGTTCCCCTAGCTTATAATGATTTCTGAACGTTTTCTTCCAGCTCACGTTTGTAAAGCCAAAGACATAGTTTTAGAATAATTTTGATTAATAAAGAAAGTAAAATACAGCAGATAACTTTGATTTTTTTTTTTCCCTCAGTGTTTGTTGGTGACTGTTCGTACTGGGCACGTTATACTGAGGTAAGTGTTTGGTTGGACACCCACATACAGAAGCAGTGCCGATTCCAGCCTGCTCATATTTAGAAGTGGGCTAAACTTAGAAACCCTATTAGTTTTCTCCTGCTTCCATTAGTACTGAAACCATACAGCAACAACTTTCTTGATTTTTTTTTTTATTTTATTTTTTTTATTTCTTTTACATTATGGTCACTACTAATTTTAACACAGAACAGAGTTAAAAAAATGTATGTGTTAAGTAGAAAACTATAGTCCCTTTGTTGCTAAATAAATAGCTTGAATTCTTCCAAAAATCATACTACAAATCCCATGACAACCATAGTAACACAAGCCCACATCAACAGACTTGAACACAGCCTTTTTTCCCCCCCGATGGCTGTTAAAATAGAAAACTTCTGCATGAACAAACATACTCGCACTATTATCTCCCTGTCCAACAAATCATTTTTTGCGCTATTTCCAAAGACTGTCTATAAAACTAAATAACTCTATCTAACTGACACTGTTGCAACTTAACAAAATGTCACATTCTGTTTAATGACAATAAAACTGCTTCTTCTACTAAAGAGCCTGATAAAAAGTATTCATACCCCCTTAACTTACCCACATTTAGGCAAGAACCTTCTGTGTTTTTTTATAAGGATGCTATACGATGCATCATCACATCATGCATCATTTTGAAGTACTGACAAAGGAATAAATGGGTTCATACTTTTTTGTTTTTACAGAAATCTCACAAATGTGGTGTGCATTTTTATTCACTGTCCTTCTACTCTAACGCCCTTAATTAAAATATTGTCCAAGGTAAAACCTAATTGGTGAATATATCCAATGTGTAGATCATTTCATATTCAGTATGATGAACATAGCTGCTCTTTGAGGGCCTCAGAGGCCTGGTAGAGAACATTAACAAACAAACAGTATCACAAAGACCCAGAGCTACAGCAGCAGGTCAGGGAAGATGAAGGAGAGGTTTTAAGAAGGGTTGACGTATAAAACAGTATCTCAAGCTTTTTACAAAATTACTGTGCTGTTTAATTTGTCGCTGAACAAAGGGACATGGCTCTCCTGCTGAACTGATGGCTTGAAAATGAAGAACACAAAGAGGAATGGTGGTAAATAAGGAGGAGCTGCTTGAATTCTCAGCTCATGTGGGAGACTTTGCAGAGGTCAACCAGTAGTTCTCCATTCCCCAAATGTAGAATTTTTAAAGAAGGAAAGGTGGTGAAGATTGGGGACAAGGCTGATATGTTAAAGAGGGCGCAATTATCAATAGATTACATTTTTCGATATTGAAAGTTGACACATAACTGTCCCAACAGGGGAGATGATGCAGGCTGCATCATACTGTGAGCGTGATTTTCTTTTGTAGTAACAGGTGAACTGATCACAGTTGATGACAAGATGGATGAAGCTAAAAGTGGGGAGAAACTGGAAGATCATCTTCGAAGGATGGCATGGGACTATAGACTGGGGAAGATATTTACTCTACAGCAGATCAACACTAAATGCATAGCTGGGACCACAATGGATCCGGGTAGTTTAGCTCAGCTTATATGTTTGTGGACCAATCAACATCTAGACCTAAAGGGAGTCTGAAAAGATTATTTTAGGGGTACTCTCCTTCCAGTGTGACCTAAGACATGCAGCTTCTGTTGCAGCCAGTTTTGTCTAAGACTTGAATAGAAATGCACACTACATGATTCAGACTTTTTAACTTGTAAAAGTATGTTAATAACAAAATCTCTGTGTATATGATGAGATGATAAATGGGTGTTTTTTTTTTTCTTCCCCTTAGGTACTCCATCCATCTGTGGGATCTGAACCATCCAGGAACCTGGGAGAGCAAAGGAACATATGTCTACTACACAGACTTCATAATGGAGCTGGCTATGCTCTTTCTGGATCTTGTACACCATATCCATATGCTGGTAAGGAGATGTTTACAAAGGATCTGAAATACTATTGTGTTTTTCTTTGGATCACTGAGTAAGAGATCAGGTTTACAATAGCCTGAGATGAGGCATGCTGATTGATCGAGTGAAATCACACACCAGGATCACATGTCAGATGAAAAAGAAAAAAGGTTCAGGGTATAGAATGTGTTCATTATGCTTATGCATGCAGTGTTATCTCAAAGGTCATCTAGAAATGCAATGAGTAGCTTTGCTAAACTATGTCTTTGCCTTCTGTGTTTATGTCCACCTCATTCCAGCTGTTTGGTAACATCTGGCTGTCCATGGCGAGCTTGGTTATCTTTATGCAGTTGCGATATCTTTTCCACGAGGTCCAGCGTCGCATTCGCAGACACAAGAACTACCTTAGAGTTATTAACAACATGGAGGCCAGGTAATATAATTTTTTTTTGTGAGTCCTTTATGTCCTTTTAAAATTACAAAAGGTTTTGACAGAAATATTGGAAAGCTTTTCTTTCTTCTTCTTACTATCTGGGGCCTTCTGAATGATTGTCTTTTTTGTGCTTTTCAAATTGAGGAAAAACATTCTTGACAATAAAGACCTTTTTTTTCCCCTAAACATTCTTTTGAAACTTCCATTGATAATGCTGTGATGTCTTATTTTGTTTTTATTATATAAAATGCTTTTTGTGCAGGTTTGCAGTTGCTACTGCAGAGGAGCTGGCTGCAAATGATGACGATTGTGCCATCTGCTGGGATGCCATGCTGACAGCACGCAAACTACCCTGTGGTCATCTTTTCCATAAGTAAACAACCCGCCTTTTATAATTATTTCCATTTGTTTTTATTTATTTTGTTTAAGATTCAGACTTTGAAGGTTTTTGTATAGAATGTTGTGCAAACTTTGGCCAAAACCAGTCAATATTTTTATCTTTAGCCTGAGCCTCTGCATGCTACAACCTTTTCTTAAATTACGTGTTATCAGTTCCACATGCATAAAAACAAGTGGATAATAACTGCTTGTGTGACTTTGCAGCTCTTGTTTGCGTTCATGGCTCGAGCAAGACACATCATGTCCCACGTGTCGAACCTCGCTGAACATCAGCGGCGATGGGGCTCCGGGGAGAAACCCGCAGCAGGGTGCTGGTTTGGAAGACAACATTGGTCAAGTTGGAGCTGCCCCAGAAGCTCGACCACACATCAACCATCACAACCACTTCTTCCACTTTGATGGTGAGTCTGCCTCTCACAGATCCTATAGTGAGTTGTGGAGGAAGTGAAGACTGAGTGTGTCCATTCATATGTCCTTACAGGGTCTCGCATTGCCAGCTGGCTGCCCAGTTTTTCAGTTGAAGTAATGCACACGACCAATATTTTGGGCATGGCTCAGGCCAACAACTCGCAGCTTATGGCCATGGTAAGATGTCAGTTGCGCTCATGCAATGAATGGTTTTATGGGATATATGTTTTTATGTTTCTGCTCCCATGAATGTGACCTTTTTCTAACACGTGTAGAAATCTTAATTTTACTCAAACTGCAGTAGTGGAGTTTAGATACATATTAAGGTCAGGTCTTTTGTGGTATTTTGGTTGAAATATTAATAACTGTTGTTAATCTGTCCTTTTGTTTTTTCTGCTTATGTGTTTCTGGTCCAACAGGCCCATCAGATTCAGGAGATGTTCCCTCAGGTGCCCTCCTACCTTGTTATTCAGGACCTGCAGCTGACTCGCTCTGTTGAAGTCACCACAGACAACATTTTGGAAGGACGAATCCAGGTGCCCTTCCCTGCCCAGGTCAGCAAAGACATATTTGTTTTGTGTTTTCTAAATAGGCATGCGTAGTTTTAGTGGATATTTACCTCCTGGCTTTATTCTTCTGCTGTTGTTAGGCCATAGAACGCGCCCCCATCCAGGGCAGCCCAGCAGCAGATGAGCAGCCAGGTCCCAGTGGTGGATCAGAGCAGAACCCCAGTGAGTCAGACAACATGGAGGCCAGGGGTGGTCGCTTTTCCAAGTCCGCTGAGGAGAGGCAGAAGATGCTAAAGCTGAGAAAAGAAGAATTGCTCCAGCAAGCACGCAGGTTGGTTTTATTTAATTTGTGGGGTTAGAGGTACTCTAGATTCTTCAACAACAGTTTTAGATTTTCATTTCATTGCACAAAAGATGCAACCTAAAACTTGTATTGTGAGTTTAAATGTCATATTACCCCAAATAGAAAAGCTTAAAAGTCTTTGATGTACAGATTTATATGAGAAGTCACACATGAAATACTTTTCCTTTTAAATCTTTGCACACAAATGCTAAGTTTCTGCCATGTCTGTTATCCCCTTTCATTAATTACTCCTTTTTGACTTCTCTCCTCCCCATAGGAGATATTTGAACAAGGGTCAAGAAGATCATGATGACTTACCCAGACTGGAGGAGGACTCTCTCTCGGAACCGGACTCAAATGTGCTGAGACGTAGAACCATGGCAGCTGCTGCAGAGAGACGAATGCAACTCCAAGAAGAACCTGCACCTTGAAACATAAGGACTAAATCAAGAAAGTATAATCTTCCTCAAAGAGGCTGTTTTAGCCTTTCCCCATTTGGTTCTAGACAATAGTATCACCTTTGTACAAGTTTAATTAATAAGCATTGCAGATATGGCCTTTGAACTAAACTGGGCTGCATGGGGGAAAAAAAGGTGAGACTATCAGAACTGGCCACTGCATTCAATCCTGAGTATTCAGAGTATAATATAAATGATGGGTTGTAGCAAGCAAGGACTTGCAAGGTTGCGTTGCCCTCTGCTCACATGCCATGCACTGCAACCAGCAGCTTAGACAGTATCTGTCAACATTTGGACTCTGTGTCAATGATGAGCACATTTTGCATTCAGACACAATCAAAACCTATTTTTTGAGAGTTGTCAGAAGGTGTAACGTTTAGATAAAGCTATTAAGTCTTTTTATTACCGTCGGTCACTCGCTTTGCTTCTGACAGAAACAGCATGTCCCAGGTGACTACTTCCATCTGGTCCATGCGTGTCATTTTAATGGTTTCAACTGTGAAATAAGTAGCAAAGTTTTTATTTCTTACCTTGGAGTAAGAGAATGTCACTTTAATACTGGTCAGCCTTTCAGTCAACCTTGAATGTTTCTATCAAAGGAAATGCTGCAAATAGTGTTTTTTGACCCACAAGGGTTGTTCAGTGTCAAGTGTTATATCACCCATTGTAAACAGTTTGCATTTTGTTATTTAACAAGATGGGGGAAGTTTGGCATGTAAACTTTTATTTTCTGATACGGATGCCCTCAGATGCACGACTAATGAATGGGGATGGATTACCTTCTTTGTGTGAGTACACTGGGTGTTTTCTTCAGTCTTTCTGAAATGATCACCTGATGAGCAGGTAGATGTTGTTTTCAGCAGAGTATTGGGTTCTAAGTGAAATTTTCTAGCTTATCTATATAGTTGAGTTGCAGCTGCACTTGCTGCATGTTCTCTGTGGATGTTATTCCACTCGTAAGAGTATTTAAATACCTTGGCAAAACCTGTTTCATAGCTATCAAAACAATTCTAGTACCTCCATGCAAATCACCGGACCTAAAATGAGCTGGTTTAAAAAGAAATATTTTTGTAAACTTATTTGTGCTGCCTTTTTTCTAATCTGCAAACTAAAAAACACAAATGATGAGAGCGGCTAACATCAGTCTCTGCTTCAATACCTTAGTTTGGTGAAGAAAACCAATGGATGGCAAAAACCGGTTTCTTAAAGCTTTTAGCCGATGTAATCAGCCTCATTAATCTGTTACTGATTGAGACATATCAGTGGACAAAGGAGGGGAGTTTTGTATTACAGCAATGTAAAAAGCAGTTTCAAAGTGCATGACATGTTGACAAATGTGTTTTTTTTGTTTGTTTTGTTTTTTTGTCTCCATACACCAAAGATCAGCCCTTAAGCTTCCACTAAAAGCTAAAGAGTCCCGATCTTTTATGTTCACTTTAGTGCTCTTGTCAGGGTTTGGAAATATAGAAATCATTTGGGTTTAAATATTTGATTTAAAAATAAATAACTGGACTTTTTGCTTTCCTTTTTAGTTTATTTTACTCTGCGTCTTTACAGATCCATTACTTTTACCTGCTCATGGTTTACCTCTTATAAATATTAATTTAATCAAAATTAAAATTCTTTTTTTTAGGCTGAGCTTTCCCATATTTTGTGCCTAAATCAAAAATGCTTTAGTTAACTTCTTTAGGTCTAGTTTTTGTAAAATATGGTGATATGAAAGACTCAATAAACAGCTTCTACAGCTTTTCAACAAATGGTGTGTGTGTGTGTTATCATATTTTTTTTATAATTGGTTTGTAAAAGGGGAGCTTTTGGACATGGCGTTGCTAAATAAGATTACTTCCGCTCTATTTTAATGACATGGACCTTTGAGTTTATGGGTCCAACAAATTTGATTATTGTATGTCAAGGTTCCTACAGACAAAGTCATTACGAAAGGACCATCAGATTCCATTAGATCGAACAGGTGGGAATATTTCTGACGCCATTAAGCTGCGCCCTTACCCTCAGTTGTGTGTAGGTCATGCATGAGCCAACTCAAAATGCCATCTTAAAATCACCTAAATCCAAAAGACCATTCCCTTTGAACACATTTTAATGATCAGTTTAAGATGTTTTTCTTAAACCACAAGAATCATAGAGTATCTGAGCACCAGCCCATCTTTATATGTTACTGAAAACTGCAGAAGCAAGAATTTTGCTTTTGGAATAATTTTTGATCACAGAAAGCAAATGTAGCTACTTCTAAATAACATTTGAAACCTATGAAGGTAATCAATTGGAGCATTTATATATTAGATCTTTACTTGTATGTTTAAAAAATTGCATGGTTAAGTTTAGTTCACTTGTTTCTACTGGCTCCAATAACAATGAAACTAGTCTCTAATTTTCTGTTACATTGAGGACAAAATCCAAAATTAGTGTACATTAAAAGCGTCATTTGTGGTATCTACTTACTCATAAATCAATTTAAAGCGTGAACTTTGAAATCCACTAGATCAGGGGTCTTCAACAGGAGGTCGGCGACCCCTAGGGGGTCCATGGAGGTAATGCATGGGGGTCACGAAAGTTTTGGTTGATTACTTTTTTTCATATTCCCTTCTGCAATTATTTCCACTAATTGAAATGTCTTTAAATCCACATTAACATGAAATCAACACACTGTAGTAAACAGATAAATGGAGGCAGAAGATGTCTTTCAATCATCAATGCACACATTCAGCGACACACAGGAGCTCTTTCAAGCTGGGCACCATTTCATTCACACCTGTCTTATCAACCAGGAATCGGAATCAGAAATACATTAATAATCCCAGGGAGAAATTACTTTGGTTACATTACTCCATCGTAATAGTGACTATAGGACCAGTTTGATAGAACACAATTTTATAAAATATATATAATTACAGTAGGGGGTCCTGCTACGTCTCGCCATCAGTTTGGGGGTCCTTGGCCTGGAATATGTTGAGGACCCCTGCACTAGTAGAATTTAAACCCTTAAGACACTCCTCTCCTCATTTGCATAACGAGGCAGAAATGCATACAGAAATGTATATATGACTGGCAGAAATAGTGTTGCAGAAATAAAGAGGGTAAAAAAAATCAAAGGAAGTATAAAACAGACAAAAATATATCATGCACATAAATACACATAAAAAATAAGTAATAAATAAAGTTGAAGATTATGATGGACAATAAATAAATAAGGCAATTATTACAAAGGTAAAATAAAGAAGCTAATTAAAAGATACTCGTACTCGTTGTACTCGTATACATTTATGTCTCATTGTATAGTTTAATTTCTACCTACATTTATTTATTGTATTTTGGGGGGGCAATTAATTGTATGGTCAGGGGCGGATCTAGA